CCGTTCGCATCTTTCCACGCTTAACTTCCTCCACGAACTGTCCTCTCTCGCTACGACACGGCCAACACGTGCCACAGCTCGTAAGGGCCTCTGCTCACGTTCACCTTGGGTTTATTAAGTGAATATTGCGTCGGAGTTTGCGACGAGTTCGAGTGGCACGACGCTACGTAGTCTCGTGGAACTTCTGGCAGCGAGGGGAACAGCTCGAAATGCACCGGGCAGCTTCGAATTACCGACAGACTTCATCTACGATGCTTCAACACCCTACGCGAAATATGTTTCGGTTGGGAAACGTTTTGCACAAACAGTTGCTTCCTATAGGTTCAGATTCAATGGAGAGGGTGAACGTTACTGTTTCTCCTATTGTTGCATTAAACGCGATCGCGGGACGATGGAATGATTTCGTTTGTGGAATAAGAACTATCGGAGTGTGCTTAATGGAGCGTAGCGATAATAGGGAATTGACGATGAAACTGTTACTACTGACTTGGAAGAGGGTGGAAATTGTAGAAATTTTTATCTGTCGAATTTAAGGGTAATATTGTTCTCTGATCGAATGATGCTTCAGAGAGACAGAAGAAGTGTGCAAATTTCTCTTGTTTCCAAAGGTAGAATCATACGTTTGTTCACTGCACAGCAGAATTTTCATTTATTTTGAAAAGAGGAAATGTTGGAAGAGAATTTCAAGTTTGTGTTATAGAGAGGGTTGTGATAAATAGTGGCGCGGTACCTACACGTGGCGCATGATTCATCGATGGAATCACAGAGCGGATGACGTTCGTTTTGCGACCGCGTATCGATTAATGAACTGCGCCGCACATATTCCGCGTAAATTAAACAGTTTCCTTGATAAATGAACGGGAAATTTAGTGCGCGGACGCGCAGGAATAACCGGCGTTTAACGGAACGCATGTTCGAAAGCGGGGGGATAAGTTGATTGTACCCATAGTTGCTCGATAAATAAGGCCATCATTGACGTTTAATCGTTCAATATTATTTGTTTTTCGCCACGCCTGATAAATGTTTGCACCCCTCCCCCTGTTCCACGGTATCGTTCCACGTGACTGGAATAATTTTTGCACCAGCAACACCCGCAGAAGTATTTATTTATCGTTGTTTAATCATGAATTTAATGAAAATTCATAAACGTCCGAAGGAAGGAAGGATCGCGTTGAAAAGTGGGAATAAACGATCTCACGTACGATGGTAAATCGAATTCATCGGAATATTCGATCGCTATCTGAACTTTGTCGCCCTTTTTTTCGTTAATCAAATTGGAAGATAGAACGACGTGGCCATTTTTGCAAGCGGTTGTATCTGTTAAGCGACCTGGGGCTCGATGTGTTTGTACACGTTCGACGAAATGGAAATTGGCAGATGTCGCGGAACGGAGACAGGAAGTGAGAGGACGTCGGAAAAAATGTTCAAACGTTCCGGATCGGAAAGAAGAACGTCGCAAGAACTTAGGAGACGGCACAATGGTGGTTTTCTGCGCATTATCCAGCAGCCTCTTTCTCTCACTCTCTGCCTCTTATTCGTCTTCGCGACCATTATAAAGTTTCTCCTTTCCCAAGCACGGACGGAAAAGAAAATTGGACGCGAGTTTTGGGGAAAGTTCTTTTGTGTTTGGGGAATGATCGAGGACTTCTCGAAATACGGAGGCGCGACAATTTCTGGAAATTGGACTTTTCGCGAAAAGTTGCGCGGTCGATCCTCGCGAGATTTAATTTCTCACGTTGAATTTCAGAGGTGACGTCGTCCAAACAAAATTTCGTCAAAATTGACAAAGTCTCGGTTACGTGATGTTCTTTTTGAGAATTTTGTAAAGGATTCTCCTTCAATTTTTCTTGAAACAACAGAAGATACACACAAAAATTGTTCATGTTTTTGAAACACTTCACTTGTTTTCAAGTGAACCAGGTATATTTCACTTCTGGTTCACGTGAATTCTGTATCTGCCGGTCGACTGTGCGTGTCGGAAAAATTTCGTTGATCGGTGAAAGAGGAAAAATTGCTCCGAGCAAAGGATAAAAACGATTCGTTCCCGCCGACAAGCTGAACGTTTCGAAATCTCGGTAAACAAGTTCGAAACAAAAGGTGGTCCACGTGAAATAAACAAGCCGGGACGGCTTTTCGGATCCGCGTCACTGGAAAATGCTGTACGTTTCGTTCGTGACACGGCGGCGCGGAAAATCGTCGGGTACAGACATTACGAGCGGCGTCATACCCAAAGTACGAGTTTACAGAACGTAATCCATCGTGCTCACAATTACCGGCTCGTGGAAATTTCGGAAATGCCGGATCACCGTGATTCGACGTTAACGAAGAGAACGCGATACCGTTCGGAGCTCTTCTTACGATTATTCTTAAATTGGAATTGACATTTCACACAATTCTACAGTGGTCTGAGCAACCCTAAAAAAAAATAAATCATAACTATGCACGAAAAAATGGAACATTCGAACGATATCTTAAAATTTTTATAATTTCATCAGGCATAATCTCAAAAGAAAATTTTTGCGATTAGGTAATTGTTGATAGCCTCGACTTAGAGTTCGATTCACCAAAAGCACCGAGAGTTGAATATGAAATGAGTCATTAAGTCGTATACTATATGGAGGCAATATGCCTGAGAAAAGAGATATATATTCTACTTGCAACGCTAAAAGCAGAAGATTGCTCCTGATTGCGGTCGTTTCCACTTGTCCCTAGTTATTTCTACTTACGCCTGTTGGTTTTAGAGAGGGAACGAACGTCGGGATTTTAAGAACAGAGCAAATATTTGCGCACCCTGGATGAATGGAGGGCAAAGTAGATACGGTCGGCCAATGGTCAGACGTCGGACAAGTCGAAGAATTTCCAAAAAGACATTTGCGCGGAAAAGTGGCTCGAAATCGCGTTTCACTAGTGACAGATCCTCGAGAGAACGGTATTGCTTCACGAGTGCTCGCCACTCTTTGCACTCACTCGATTTGCCCCCTAAGTAAACACGCCAGCGTAGCTAACTGCGCTTGGTAGGACTCGAAAAAAGTTTCCACCGATGGCACAGCCTCGTTGGTTTCTTTTGCTATACACGACATAGCGTCGCACCGTGTTCCATATTCCTTTTTATTTCATTTCCAATATTTCAAACAAAATCTGAATTACTTAAGTGCGGTCAGTCAAATTGAGACTCTTCGAATTTAAATTGAAATCGAATTTAAATTGAAATTTAAACAACGCGACATTAGGATCGAAGCAAGGGACAAGGGTAATATATCGATCGTTTGCAGATCGGTATACAATAGCCATGTTGGGACCATAATTGACTGTACAAACAGATTATCTCGTATACGTCAAACTGTAGACACAAATGATACATCTGTGCAATCCAAACGGCGCTCGAATACCGTGAGAATGACCGCGTTGAAATCTGTCCAAAGCAAATGCAAAAAATTCCTGAGGTTTCACCTCATAAATCACAGCCCGTCGCTCCCACTTATCTCTCATGTATCGCAGATCCGAGAGAAACTTTCCATGACAAAACATGCGTATCAAAGAACACGATACGACGAAAATTCACCGAGGATTTATTCAAGTCGCTATTGTACGCATTCCAAGAGAAAGATCGCAAAAGCGTCAGAACGAGCAAAACAGCGAGAAGATTCGCGTATCCAGGACACACGGCCGAATCACCACGCTGAATTTTACATAAGCGAGGGCGTAGACACGAGGGCAATTAACGAACTACCGCGTGCATGTGTGGTTTCTGAGAATACTATGCTTGTTGTACTCGGTCAATTCCTCTCTCCACAACGAACTCAATAGTCTCATATTTGTGACCGAAAATTCTCCGGTGATTAGGACAAAACAAAAAAAAAAAAAGCGGCAGTCGTCGAGGAAAGGATTAAAATTCATGAAATTACACCCTTAGAGTGACAACGAAAAATACTCCGTGGGGGGGAATAGAGAGATTTAATTGCCATTGTCTAGCAGGGAGAATCTCGAAAACGATGGCTCGTCGAAACGACACGGGAATTGGGTTACGCTGTTTGCTGGCAGGCAACGCGAGCTAGATAAAAACACCAGCCGGAAGATATAATGGGTCAGACATTCGGTCTGCGGGACGATGTTCCGTGAGAGAAATGCATCGTAAATTTAAGCAGGCCATCCTGGTTTCCCAGGTGGCAATTAACGAACAGAGGATTTTCTACGTTTCTTTCCAGAATCACTGTACGCTTTTCACGACGATCGTTTCGTATGTATGCATGTGAAATAACGGATCTAGGCTGAGAACACACGTTTCGACGGCGACTGTCGATAATTTGGTGGAACATTGAACAGCGATGGGGCCTCGTTATCGTGTAATTATGCGTTGGAGAATTGGCGCGGTCGAGTCCCGCGATCCAACGATTAATTGCACCGTGTGACGGTCGATCGCGCGACAGAAGTGGCTTAACTGGCCATTATTGCGGAGATATTCGCCTGTTCGAGTAGATTGCGGACAGCTCTGACGAAGATAGGCCGTTTGTTTGCGGAATAAGTCTCGGTAAAATACGCGTGCTTGTATTTGCCAGGAATAATAATTGTTTTGGGAATGTTGGGCGTGTTAGTTTTAGAAAAACACGGTTTTTATGTTTCCACTTGGGCTACGTTGTTTTTTCTACTCCTCCTTTATTTTTTGAACAAACTGCAGTGTGAATCTGTCGGTGAGGAGATAACGAAGTGTAATAACGTGGTAAAATGAAAGGTACAGCGTCCGACATAAGTATTGAAATATAAAAAAATATTATATTTTACTGATAGAATTTTATTAATATGTAAAGAGTTATTACCAAAAATTATATGACTTTGGTACAAAGAAAAATTAGTATTCTCCATAGTTTGTATAATTTGCTTCGAAACTGAATACCTGTGTAATTTCTAATTTGCATAATTTCGTAGGTAAGGTGGCGATAAGAGTGCAGATCGAGAAATTCTTTTCGCCTGGAATTTAGGGTTACGAACACTTCTGTTCGCAGGCAGGCCTACACGGCCTAACCGGACATATCGAGTTCAACGAAGGGAAGCGGAACAACTTCAAATTAGACCTGCTGAAGCTGAAGAAAGAGGAGCTGGTGAAGGTGGGCGAGTGGAAACCTGGTTCTGGCGTGAACGTGACTGACGTGGGCGCTTTTTACGAGACCAGCGCCACTAATATCACTCTGGTCGTTATGACGCGAGAGGTAATTACCTGAACTCTGTCCCCAGAGTCGAATTATGTTCCTACGGGAAACATTAACCCGTGCAATTTCTCCAAAAATTCACCATCCGAAGAAAACAAGTACAACGTCACACTTATTGCTCGTATAATTTCATTCCTCCAATAATAATTCACCTAATGCAGCACGTTTCCTTTAATTACAAATGTCGCTTCTATTTAACCTTCGATTACGCGTGTACTCGCTGAACTCGTCCAGAAAGTGCCCATCTGTTCGAAAGAAACTAATTTCACTCGGTTCCTCCGTCAAAAGGAAACCGCCGTCGCCGAGATACGACGTTCCACCTTCTCCATTTTCCAAGATGAAAGGCTCGCGAGAGAACAGAGATTGAGAAACAGAGAGAGGGAGTAGAGTTAGAAGCTTCCATCAGAATCGTTCCGTATTAGAGCATCCAATGACACTGCCTAGCTTGCTGTATGTTTCACAGTATCGATGTCGTCCTTACCGTTGAATAAAAATTCC